ATGGTATGGTATGGTATGGTGTGGTGGCTGAAAGTAACCAAAAGGGCAACTCTCTTTTGGGTTTGATATTTTCACATGCGTTCCCCAGCTGCAGCAACATTGGCCACCGCGGCGTCCATTTCGGGTGCGGGTGCTGGTACCAAAGATGTCACAAAGGTGAGCAATGCATGCTCGATGCTACGCCAGACAGACACTCGGCCCTGCGGTACTACCCCAGGCTGTTGGTCCTGAGCGTTGGTATTGGTCTGGCGCGGTGCGGATTCGCCACCACCACCTGCTACTGCTGCTGGAGAAGAAGGCGAAGAGTTTGCTCCCTGTATCGCTGTGTTGTCGTTGCTCGATGCCGACAGCGTCGACGTGCCTTCACCGCCAGACTTTTCATTCAGGTTGTCGCCAGCCGACAACGAGGTTGACGACGATGACGACGATGACGATGATGAAGATGAGGTGTCGTGATTGGAGGGCATGTCTGCTGAACCTGCCTCTCCTGCTGCACCACCATCCTGCCCTCCTGCTGCGACACCTCCACCCTGAGGTCGATTCCCATTCACGTTATCCTGATCATCAAGATTGACCGGCGCTATTCTCCTGACAATACGAAGTCGTCCTGTCTGGTGCCTGTAGAAAAACAAAAACAAAAAAAAATAGTGAGCTAAGGATGGCAGTCCTTGATCTGTGTCACCAATCAACCCTCTCAAAAAATGACCCTTGTGCAGCACAATGAGCACATACAGGAAGATGATCAAGGCGGCAATATTCAGCAACACTTTTCTCTCGAAACTGCCGTTCTGTCCAAATAGATAGACGCCAAAGGCGAGCTTCAGCAGGAGCCATAGTGATTGCGCTCGCCGCTGATCCCGGGCTGCGATCTCTTGAGGGTTGGCTACTCTCGCAGCAGCGACAGCCTCGCCCCCACCGCCTCCTGGTGCTGGTGCTGCTACGGGAGCGCCCCCGGGACCTGCGGTTGCTCCTGCCAGCTGATCGTGTGTCAGTGGGGTGTTGGCTGACATTGTCGATCCATCCGTGTTCATGACCATCGTCGAGCCGTAGGCCATGGGGTATCCAAAGAACGCCTGCTGCTGTTGTTGTTGCTGTTGCTGATACTGAAGAAGCGACATGTAGCCAGCGGGCATTAAGTAGGGCAGACCACTATTGTTTGTTGTTGGCAGTAGTAGTAGAACATGGACGCACCAATGAGATGTTAGTGTCAAAAAAAAAGTAGATGTTCAAGGAGGGATCACCACAGGGGAGATAAAGAGAGCAGTGAAGCTTTAGCTTGGTGGTGTCATCATTATTGATAAGCCCAGGGAGAGGGGGAAGGGATACTTACTTGACAATCACGTATTGATAGGGCTGTAGCAATGTGTGATGGACAGGGGTCGTCCACGGTAAGACAGGTGTAAATGAATATGGGGGTGGAAGAGCCGCCGCTTCTTGGGCTTTGTGCTGATCTGCTGTGGACGGAGCCCCTGTTGTTGCTGTGGGTGTGGATGTGGAGGAGGAAGAAGAGGCGTTGTCGGAAAGAGGAGGAATAGACCGCAGAGGTGGGGCCGACGAGGCTCTTGTGTCTGCTGCATTGGGTGCAGACGAGGACGACGAGGAGGACATGCCTGTGCGACCTTGGCTGGAGTTGTTTCTGAACCGCAAAGGGGCTGGGGACTCGGGAGCCGAGTGGATAAACGAGGACGGGCGTGAATGCAGTTGAGAGACAACAAGGTGGACTGTAGGAGGGACAGTGATGTAGTCAATCTGAAGGATGTGAGAAAATGCGTTGATGGCAAGCAATGAGGACGAGGAGAAGAGGAGGAGGAAGAAGAAGACGAATGGAAACAGAGAAAGAAAGGAAGAGGTAAGGAGGAGGGGAACAAACAGGCAAAAGGGGTGTTGGTGGTGGTGGGGGGGGGGAAGACAACAGATAGGGCGAAAGAAATTAGAGAGCAGTAAGTAAAAAGTACGTGGAGTGAGTGAGTGAGTGAGTGCATTGCGACCAGCAGGGTGACACGTTGCGCAAACATATCGATCAAACACGCGAAGGGTTTGATAGGGCCCAGCAATCATCACGCCAACAATAAAATGAACCCAAAGGGCAGTCAGTTGCCAGCCAAAAAAAAAACAAGCTGCATGGCGCACACGACCACCAACTCCTGTTCTGCCAACATAGCGTGATATGCGATGTGCTCACCCTACCTTCTCAAAAACCTGCTCAAGGACCTCGGCGTCCTCTAGGACCCGGCCACGGAAGATAAGGCGTTGGTCAGAGGCACCGGGCTTGCTGTCCAGGCGTATGCTGATGGCCTCCTTCAGGTGCTCGATGGTCGACCCTTTGTCGACTGTACATCGCAGCTGATTGTCTGCTAACAGCAAGGGGCAGCTGATGAGAACAGTCAGCCCTGCTGTGGATGTGTGGTGGTTGCCAGTGTCACCCATGGAGTGTGAGGGGGAGGAGGAGGGGCAAGTGATTGCAGGATGTGTGCGAGAGAGAATGAGGAAGAGTGAGAGAGAGAAAAGAAGATGCAAACTGAGGGAGGGCACGAGAGGTGTCAAAAAGGAAGAAAAAAAATGGTTGGCTCTGTGACAGAAGAAGAAACCTGCCTGGTCCAGAAGAGATTCAGAAGGGACAATGTAGACAATGATGATGTCGACAAGATGAGAGAAGTTGATTTGTGTGTTGTGTTGTGTTGTGTGCGATGGGACAAAACTTGATTGCCTCCCTTTCCAATGGGTGGTGGGGTCCAACAATTCAAAAATGGCACTTCCCCCCCTTCTGTCTCTCTCTCTGTCTCTCTCTCTCTTCTCTCTCCTCTGTGCCCCCATTGTCAAATATAGAACGCTGTTCAATTACAGGTTGTTCCGAGCACCCCGAACAAAAGAGGGTCGTGTTTTTTTCCTGCCCTTTGCGATTCCACATTCAAGCAGCATTATTATGGCATCCCTCGCTCGCACTTGCGCATTCACTCTCGCTCGACAGACAAGGTTGCTGAGGCCGGCTCTGGCCACGCCTCTCCTCAGCCACACTGCTGCCTTGGCTCCTTTCTCCACCACCTCCACCGCCTTTCGGGACTCTGCACCTGCACACCAAGGGGCTGGAAACACTAGTACCCTGCGCCAGCGGCGAGTGCCCTCCCCAGGCACACGCGCACCGGACGCCGATGGTGCCATCTCTGGGTTCATGAATCTGTTTGAAGGCGAGGGCGACAACAGGACCGTCACCATCCGCACCTGCACCAAGCATGGCTTTGTCACAACCGATGCCGTCACTTTGCAGGGCCCCGTCCTGTGCATCGGAGGACAGGTCTATCTGTGGGATATCTTCAAGGACTCGGGCATCATTGCTCAGAAACTAGGTCTCTCCTCACCACCATCTCCACTGTCTATTCCCGGAGGATCTTCGCCCTCTCTGGCTCCTGGCACATCGAACGCTGCCCAGGCCGCCGCGGCATCCGGACGTTGTGTGTTTGAAACCATGGACGAAAAGACTGCCAAAGAGGTTTTCAAAGTCTTTGAACTGATGGATCCTAGGCCAGGTAAATAGATAGCTTCCTTGCTTGATGTTTTCTTTTTCACAAACGTAACAGAGAGTTCATGGATGGAAGACTCACTATCGGAACAAATCTTTTTTTTTATTGGCTATTTTGCGATTAACAACCATAATAGAAATCTTGGTGGTCGGTACAGGAAAGGCCTTTGCTCCTCTGAGTCCTGCAGTGAGATCCGTCGTCCGTGGCCTTGGCATGCATGTCGACATGATGAGCACAGTATGTGATCATTAAAACACCAAGAAGCTCTCTTGGCGCCAACAGGACGAATCATCATGAATCAGAGAAACCAGCACACACTAACTATTAGTCCATTTATTTTTCTTCATCACAATTCGTCTAGGCAAATGCTGCAGCAACCTACAACATGTTGGCAGAGGAAGGACGCGAGGTAGCAGCAGCGTTGCTCCCACTAGAACCTGCAACATCGACATACTATGACAATAAGCAGCGGAAGCAATGATCTACCAACATGATTTGACAAACTATTTTTGGTTGTATCTATGTGTCCAGTCCTTTGCTCTTTTTTTTTTCTCGGTCGTGGAGCGTTGATTCTTATGGACTCATCTCTCTATAGAACATAGCAGAGCGCGAGCAAAGGCGCAAACCCAGTGATCAAAGCGTGTCGACTCTACACCCTTTTTTCACAGCATCTAGTACTCGTGCGTGGCCATTCACAAAATGACAAGGAGACTGGTTACCACAGCGCTGCGTAGCAGAGTGGCACCCAGTCAACTCTTTCCGAGCGCGGACTATCCCCACATAGGCTCACCTGGGTGAACAACGGAGAGTCTTCGTGTTCAGACAACAAAACAATCACCGATACTCTGCAGAGCACGCAGAGTATAACAATGTCGACCGCACATCGATGGCAGCCTAGGCGGACGGGACATTGCATCAGGCATTCTGTGGCTGGGTGCCAGGCGGGCTGCCTGACCTATCCATGCTTGGCGAATATACATACCACTAGCCCTCACGCGTTGCTGTAAACAGGTCTGGAATCTGAGCTACCGCCGGATGCAGAGAAAGAGGAGGAAGCCAGGAATCGACTCAGACTTTGACTCGTTTCACAACCAACTCCCAAGGATGAAAATTTTTATTTTTGCCCTCGGCTTCACCTGGTACTTGTTTTACACTCTATGTACAGTGGGTGGGCTCGCGGACTGAATTATTCTTTTTTTGACAACCCAGTTGCCGTGCATTGGATGGCAACCCCCTTCTCCAAAACCATATTTAACCTCAGTCCATTCCGATAATAACGGATATCCGTTAGGAAACTCTACTAAAAAAACTCAGGATCACCAGATGATCACCAATGGCAAGAGTGACATTACTTTACGGCTTTTAGGGCTCGCAGACGTGAATGGAGGCACGCGCCGATGGAACCGGCGCAAAATAAGAAAAAAAAAACGCGCGACCCGTCCAGCCCACTCCGACCTCCATCACGATTGAGCAAAACTATGTTGGGATCTGTGGGGTTCGAACCCACGCGGTTGACAACCAGTGTGTCTTAAGCACACCGCCTTAACCACTCGGCCAAGATCCCTGAATCACGTGGACAGTTGTCCTTGTATGGAAAATCAGCAATTCGAATTTTAGGACCGCCAAGAGCATGCTCCCTTGATTGGTTGCTACAAAAGGATAATGTCACAACAGGCAAAAAAAAAAAAAAAAAAACGCCTCTTGACAAAAAAAAAAAAAAAAGTAGGCTGCACAGGCACACACTTCGGGCAGGCAGTGGCAAGTTGATCTGTGTGCAACAAACGGATGATCACTTCCCCCTCTTTCTTCAAATAGACTCGATTCATAAAAGGGTCTAGCAACTCCTGTCGCGCAGGTCTAGACATACGCACACACATCCTTCTTTGCAATTCTAAAATTGTTGACCTATCCCCTATCCCTCCCTCCCTTCCCAGTTACACCATCCATTCCTGGCGTTTGGCTAGCTGAGGAGAGTTGCCGCAATTCTGACGTGTGTGTGTGGGATATATATACCCCTCTTGTTTTGGAAAATTAAGAGTCGGGGGAAACCCAGCGTTTTGTTTTTGGCGGACTTCGTTTTTCTCAGTACATGCGAGGGTCCCGTCCAAGAACTGCAAAAAAAAATAAAATCATATTTTTCCCGTCTCTCTCAACTGGGCTCTAGCCCAAATAGAGAGAGAGAGGCTGGAGTGAGAGAGAGAGAGAGAGAGAGAGAGAGAGAGAGGAGGCACAAGATCTTTAGAACACCGTACATATCACAAACGCCTGTTTCAATAGCCTTTGTGAAGGATACACATACAAGAAAGGAAAAAATTGGATTGTGGATTGACCTAGAAATTTTGACTGCGCTCTGCGGAAAGGGTCTGGACTTTCTGAAGGTCTCGAGTGAGGGGAGAAACACACAACATGTTGCAAGCTTTGTTCTTTAGTGGACATCAATATATTACAGGCAAAAAAAACTACAAATGGGGGGGGGGGGGGAGAGGGAGGGTATAACTAGCTGGATATTGGAGAGGTGGGTAACTGCACGTTTGCTTATTTTTTTTCTTTTCAGGGACTCTCGTTAGGGCTGACCCAGATAAACCAGTACTTTAGACCTTGAACGAGTTGACGGGCCGAAGGATCGTGGCAGTGGCGGTATTCGGGCGAGGCCTTGATAGCGGTCATCTCGGCCTCGATGCGCGCCTGGATCTCGTGGATGGTGTGCTGTTTCTTGGCCTCTTCCACGGACAGGGTCGACGAGGATGATGACAAGGACGACAACGAAGATGCGATGGAGGCAATCGAGAGACGGCGTGTTGCTGACTTTGCTGCGGTTGGGCGGCCGTCTTGGTGCTGCTGCGCGTGCAGTTCAGCGGTCTCCTTGCGGTACTCGGCCTCCAGGCGGTGGATCTCCTCTCGAAGGATGGCTTTGCGGTCCGAGATGAGCTGCTTGAGGGCTTGGATCGAGTCAGCGGCGCTGTTGCTCGAGGTCGAGGAGGACGCCTTGTCCTTCTGGATGAGGTCGTTGATGATGGACGAAAAGAGGAACATGGTTGAGAAAGATGGTTTGCGGTGGAGAGGTGAAAGGGAACAGAAAGGAAAAATAACTTTTGCTGAGTGAAGAAGTGGGAGGGATATGAAGAGAAAGAGATGTGAAGTTAGGGGGTCAGCAGACGGTTTATATACCACTTTCCTCTGCTTATCAATGATGCCACGCACAAATCACCGACAGAGAAAAAAAAAAGTCTGAACCTTATACCTGTTGGAGGTACTTCGGAGGCCTCCTGCCTTTTTGGGACGACCTGCTGTGTGGTCAAAAACAAACACCGATGCGCAGAAATAAAACTGTATTGTCCCCGTCCCACAACAAACGCATATAGCGGGGGGATACAGAGTCTATTGGATATTCATCTACTGAATTGAAGCTATAAGCAGGGAAAGGAAAGAAGGGAGGAGGAGAGAGAGAAAGGAAAAGAGAGAGGCTATCTGCATTCTGTAGAGCTGCTGAGTATGGACTTGGCCTTATATTGGGCATGTTCTCACCATTCAGTGTCGCAGGTGGGTACAAGATGTCCAACAAGCTGTGGCTGCTTGACCCAAAAGGGCTAATATCATATTCGACAAGTGAAACCCGCCTGGATGGACAGGCGTGTTTAAGCCAACTAACGTTGAGAGAGCCAGGGTCCCTAACACACGAAAAAAAAAGAGAATTCCCCACCATCACCGACGCTGCCGGCGAGAAGGGGGGGGGTTTCGCGATGCCCTGCGGTCAAGAGTACACCTGCAATCCATTTTCCTGTTGTTGAACACGAAACGCAATGCTGAAGGCCCTTCAAGATCCTGGACCATATCCTTCAGCCCAACAATCGTATTGGAAAGACAACACTAGATATTAGCTTGATGGTTTTGTCCATCTGCGCTTTGCTTCCAACCATCGCGTCCGTCATTTCTTGAAGCTTGTTCGTCAGGGGCCGCCTTGACTGCTCTTTCCTGGAACTGGCTTGTAAGCATGTTGCCGAAGATGTGGTACTCCGCCAGCGATGTCTGCTCGTCTTCCAGCATTATACCGTGGATAGCCAGCATGTGACGACGAAGATTCTCGACCCTGAGCCCAACAGGAAGAAGATAGGATTGTAGATCCGTTATGGCGCCTTGGCGACCTTGCTCGACTCGTTGGCAATCAGAACAGACACGGTTCGGATCATTGTTGAAGGGTATTGTGTGAGAAAAACGAGACGCCGAACCCTTTTCGCCCTTCCCTTCCCCCATTTGTGACCGTTTTTAGACATGGTTGGATTCAAGCCTACTAAACCTACTAAACAACGTTGATGTGGGATGTCACCGGTTCTTTGCAGTCTGATCTGAACCCGTTGTCACCGACACCAGCATATATGATACGATCTAGGTGAAGTGTGTCTTTAGCTGAAAAGTTCAACACATCAAGAAG